TCTGTACCTTAATTCGACTTCCATACATACACTTAAGCGTTGATCCACTAGCTCCGAGGTTTGCATTCAGTGCATAAGGGGTTTGTTTTTCGAGTCCGGTGATACTTCCCTAAGAAGAAGGGTCTATAGTTCTACCCGGGTTGTTACAAGAGATACTACATCACCATTTCCCACAGTATGTACCACACTTTATTAATTCAAATATGTACTGAAGGGCATGTGGGCTGCTTACTATGTTTTTGTGATTATGTTGCTATAAACATCAAAGTGCAAGCATCTCTTTAATAATATTTATAATATGTAATAAAATCTACTTCTTTGCTTTGTGAAAATGCCTCACAGTGGGAGTCCTGAATCCAGTGGTAGATCTCTTTCTAGTTCTTTGAGGTATCTCCATTCTGCCTTTCACGGGTGTTGTACTAGCTTGCAGTCTCTCCAACAGTGTGTAAGTGTTCCTTTCTCTCCACATCCATGCCAGCACTCCTGGTTTTGCGACTTTTGGCAAGACACATGCTCACTGCAGTTAGGTGATATGTCATTGTGGATTTGATTTGCATTTCCCTGATGAGCAGAGATGTTGCGCATTTTTTGAAGTGTTTTTTTTGCCCTTGGGCTTTTTTTCTTTCTGAATTCCATTTCTATCATTTCACGATTCCCTTGCAGTTCAATTTCACTACTGTTGCTCCCTTGTGATCCCTTGTGGCGTCCAACTGTTTTGTTTTCCTTGTTGCCTGGGTTCTTTTGCTGGTTTCTTCTCATTTGAAACCTCTTTGCTCGACTCAAGGTTAACAGATTTTCAAGGCACCTGTGCTTTGCTTGGAACACTGCTCCTTAATGAGAATAAAAGGAGGTCCCTAGATGGCATGTTTTTTTCTACTCTGGAATGTTCAGCCTTCTGATGTCCTGTCCACCTGTGATTGTCACTGTTCAATCCTATTCTTGATGAAGCTAGAACTGGGTGTGGGGTTGTGTCCCAGATTGTTGTGGAAATCTCAAGTTGGGAACTGGGTGAGGTCTTCTCCACAGAGTATGTCATCATGGGGATTTCTCTGACTGGCTCTTCCCACATAGGGGACATTGGTGTCTGGATGAGGTCATCTACAGTATGGGCATGCGCTCCAAGGCTGTGGGCATTTGCTTGAACCAGGTCCCAGTGTAATGGCAGCTTTAGGTTGGGAATTCCCTAGTGGTCCATTATACCTGAGAGCAGTTGCACTGGCCCTGTGCCAGTGGTGGAGACTCAGGTATGGTTCTGGGGTTCTGGGACAGTTCTGGATTCTCAGGGACATTGTCCCAGGTTGCAGCC